GTATTTTTAGGTACCGGTGTAATTGACGGTTAATGATAGATTCCATGACTTTCGAGAATAAGAAGGTGATAGCTATGGGCCTATAGTTAGCTGGAGCTGAGCGATCTCCCTTTTTAGAGATCGGATGTACCAGAGCAGGCTTCTAAAACTTTAGGACTATATCTGATAAGTAACACAGCCGAAAAAGACGCGTAAGAACCGGAGGCAATTCTGGCGTACACGTCCTAAGCACAATCATCGGGCCCATTCGACTTGTGGATTTCAAGGGAGAGCAGTTCTCTACGCACTGAGCTTTGCGTGAATTTATTATCAGGCATAGAGCTCTTACAACGTGGGATGGTCAGCGGTGGTATTTCCCTGTCATCCAACGTCGAGTTGGCCGCAAAGAGAGATCCAAGGAGATCGGCCTTTTCTTTGGCGGTCAGAGCCAATGAGTTATCCTCCCTGCGCAATGGTGGATAGGATGACTGACAAAAATTCCATTGTGCAGCTTTGGCAAAAGACCAGAAAGCTCAAGATCCTGAAGGCAAACAAGCCAATCTCTTGCCAATTCTACTAATATGTTTTGACTTAAGTTTAAATAGGTATGGTATGTATACATTTTCCCACTCATAGATGATAATTAGATAGCCGTTTTTAAAATACACATACGGTGTTAGATAATATAATGAAATAAGAGTACATTACAATACATAAACTTCTATAGTATTTAATCTGGAGAAATTTGTTTTCTATAACTAAAGAGATCGCGTGTTGCATGCTTTACTCAACATATGAAAGTGTATTGTAAGATCAGTATACGATATCACTCTCGCTCTTGTATACCTAAGTACAGAATAATGATAATTCGTAATTAAAATGTTATCTCAAAATAAAGTCGGATCCGTGGTTTTAAGTTTAGTATTAATTGTTACTAGTACGTAAGTGCATAGGTACTACTTACTTGCATGCATAATTCTTCGCTTATGAACAATACTGAATATACCAGAATATTAATATATTATGGATATCATAATTGATATCCATATATATCCACAACACGGCTTATGCGTTGTCACTTCTAAAACAGTTTCTATTCCTCTTATAGCAAAACTCATACTTACTATCTACACCTTTTATATACTACCTACGATCTAAATAGCATTGTATGTATCTAACAGTACCTAACATTAATTTTTAAAAATGATTTTTTGTTTTAAAAATGATTTTTCACGAATGACATAAAATAATAAATAAATAATAATAATAGCAAATACTCAGCAAATCACAATGCATTATTTTTTTTATATATATTAGGTAAAGACCTGCTGAATACTATAAAAATAGACAAGTTAAGTGTTCCTGAACTAGTCCAAAGCGGTTCAAATAATGTTCGTCTAGAATGCCAGTACACCCTTTCGACTGATGTTTCTCTTTATATCATACAGTGGTTTTTTAATGATGATCCTTCGCCCTTTTATGAATGGACTCCAGAGACAGAATTTACAAGCAATACAATTTATAACGGATACTTCAATTGTAAGTAATTTTAAATGTACATATTTAGCTACATACACTGTCCTACCAAGTGGAATGGATAAAAAATAATCTACATATGACCTAGAATATAAGATATTCTATTTAATTAATATTGTTCTGACATCATCATGCATGCACCCTGAAAACTATAAATTGAGAAATATCTTACTTGTAATAATTTAATTATTTTTTTTATGTTTTTATGCTACCTAGAATGACGAACAAGTTGACAGCCCACCTGATGGAAAGTGGTAATCTTCGCCTATAAACATGAGCAGTACCAAGGACATAACAAAGTATGCTGTTTCGCCCATGATATCCTCCATGCGTTGCCATTCCTGAGGGCTCAGATGTTATTCTTCTGTACTCTGTAAATTCACTGCCATATCCCACCCTTCAAATCAAAACAAAACCATCCAAACACAACTGCTTCACGGTGCTTAAATAGTGATAAATCATGTATTATGTCTAACACTTATTTTAAAAAGTAATATTTTTAGCGACAACTACGAGAGAGCACAGTATTCTACTTCTGCAGCAAGTAATACCAGAAATAAACGGAGATTACACGTGCAAAGTTGTCAGCGAGGGCAACGTGGCAAGTCTGACAAAAACTATGCTTGTTTATAGTAAGTACACCTATCTACTTAACAACAAGAACAATAGCTTTAATACAGAAAATATAGGTTTTAAAGCCAAATTCAAACCTATCTGATAACTTGATACCAAACACCCAGAGGTTATTCTATCTGGCTCATCATTTCAAAAAAGGAAATAACCACAAATTTCGTTGGACGTCGTACGGGAGTTTTTCTACGAAATTGCTTTCAATTCAATAGCTTTTGGGGGAGAAGCATCACATTAAGTTATATAAAGCGGTAGTACGCCGAATTCCAACATAGACAGGTTTCTTTTGATGACCAGATTCGGGAATGTAGTTCTTCAACAAAGACTGACAAGGGAAGCGATTAATTGAAGAAAACCAACTCATTACCTATAGTACTATCGGGGACAACTGGGTATCGCTGTGAATCTAATTCAAAATAAATTTACATATAAAATAAAAAATTATGGAACTTTATTGTCGCTGGATTCCTCATGAATTGATTACGGACCAAAATAGCCTCGTGTTGAATGATGCTCAAAGATGTTTAAGTACTACCACGCACATTCCAGTGCAGTTTTCAACACCGATAAAGAAAGAAAAGAAAAAGATATAAAGACATACCTAAAGAGTAAGAGATGAAACGAGGATTTATTATTTCGAATTAGAAAAAATGCAGCTATCTTGAAAATGTGTATTTGAATATGGGAATAGGCCTACAAAATTCAGGTACCTACACGAAAAACGTAGATAAAAGATAAAAAAATATTGTAAAAATATATATTTATTTTCTCCCGCGAGGATTCCGTTGTTACTCCTGTCAAAAGAGTGTTAGTACTGAGTAGTACGCCACTATTTGTTTATTCAGTCCTTAAAAAAAGTCAGAGATGACCGAGGAGCCGCGTCCTCTTGCACCACGATTCGTTTCTTTACACACAGCTAGTAAAACAAAAAAAAATTTAACCTATTAAAAAGCGGAGATCGTGATCAATCCTGCACATAATCCAAAACTTGCACTGTGCGATTTTTTTTTATTTTCCCTAAAATCAAAGATTTGATAAGAGATTTTACTTTAACTAAGTACTAACTCGGAAAAAGCAGTGATAGATTTTCAATCGCACGTGGGAAACATACTCTCAGATGAATGGTCCATGTGATTTGTTAAATGTTGAATGTTTAAAATGTAAAATAACTTTGAAAAACAATAATTGTATTATTTTAATTTTAACTTATTTTCTTTATAACTTATAACAATTTTATTGGTATGTCCTACGTATGTATTTATGTCTCTAGACTGGAACATAATAGATAATTATATTTCTGCAGGCCCTGAAAGTGACTTTGAACTCAATATAACTAGACATCAAGATATCTTAGACATAAGGTGCATCGCAAAGGGACTGTACCCGCAACCAGAATTAACTCTAGAACTAAATAGGTGCAGTAATATTTTATTTTCAAATTGATTTTTATAAAGCAAATAATCGCTTTTGAAATCTTCAGGATGTATATTTATGTGCGCTCAATACAAATTATATATATTTTTAATGATTGAAAAATGGAATGGCATACGGTAACAGTATACGCTGACAGAGTACCAGTGAGGGATGATAAGTGAGGACGAAAAGGCAGGTCAGTTAGCCCGTCGTAATAAATTCACCTGAAAACGGTGAACACGAGGGGGTCGACCTGATATGGTATATTACTAGCGATTTAGCTACTTGTCCCCGTTAATAACAATCCCTTCTCCCGTAATAATATATTATACCCATTTTAACTGACAGAAATATTATACCAAAGCAACTGCAGCGTAGCTGGCGTGGTATTGATCAGCTCTATGTTGTGGAAAGTTCAGTCAGACAACGCACAACAAATGATAACCGTGAGATAACATGTCGATTATATCTACCTCAAGCAGACTATACAGCTATAAGAAAAAAGAACATAATAGGTTAGTACACGCATGTTTTTGTATCTGTCAAGCTGACTTTAAGGATTTTAAGGAATTTACAAAATTCAGTTTCGAAGATTAGCATAAACGATCATCGCGACACAGGTTGTTTTTATATATTAAGAAGATTATGTAATCATTTAGATTCATTTTGTTTCAGGTAAAGGAACGTCTAATAGATCGAATTATGTAATTATTCATAAAATGTGTGTTATATTATCTATAGCAGCAAATACTTTTATTTTATAAACTACCTGCGTGCAGATATCTTTATAATGAAATAGTCATATTAACCACTTAATATTTAGTATTTATTTTTGTATGTTTAGGAATTTTACATAATACCTACAGGCTTTCTTCTCGTGTTGGTCTAATATTTTATCACATTTGACATCGCCATTTTTTTTTCACTTAACGAAATCTTCTGTTTATTTTATGTTAGGTATTTATGTTCATATGTAAATGTATATATGTTGATACCAAATCTCATACCAAAAGTCCTTAGTAGACCCTATTCAAAGTAATAACTCTATTAGTTAAATAAATAAGTGGACTTATTTATTTTTTAATTACGGTTTTTCATTCTGTCCGTAGTGACGTATTTTTCTATTTATAGTATACGTTTATGAAAACAAAAATATATATACATATTTACGTTTGTGTCCTATACATACTTTGTATATAATACAATTAAATTTTAAATAATATTTTTTAACAACGTATAATAAATTAATAACCTATAACCGGCTTCAGTTTTATTTATAATATTTAAAAGATAAAAATACTTAACCGATATTAAAGAATTTTTGCAACCGAATAAGTATTTTTTGAGTTTCTCCACAACAAATATAAAATGTAATACCTTGCAATATTTTCTTTTATCATTGAATCTTTTGTATGACAAAATTATGAAATAATATTACTATGTTAAGTTGTAATATAATTTTAATATATACACACGCATTATATTATTTTTAGTATCACATAATTTAAAAAGTTCATAACAACACACGTAGATATATCGGAATTGTAACCATGACAATGACCATCCACGAAGTTCGAAGTCCATTACTGTCCGAACCTGAAATATAAAAAAACAATTGTAAGATTCTATACAAAAATCGTAGATAATGCACATAAAGTGTCTTCATACAACTGTTTCACCAAAAACAGGTCTATTTATTTATTCGTGTCTTTTTATAATATAATGTAATAGAGTTACTATAATGTACATTTATTATTCAGTATATGGGAGAAATAATATTGTAAGGTTAAATTAAACATTAAAAAAGGACACAAAATTCTTACGAATATATAGAAAAAAAATATAAAAAAACAGTACACACTCTTAATGATTCGTAATAATGCATATCTTTACTGGTTACCTTGATTTATATCTGAATACATACAAAATATGTTATATTTAGCCGTCTATAATAGCCGTATATTTAGAAAATAGCCGTCATTTTAATTAATACATGTATATTAATTTGTAAGCAATACGAGTACTATATATACATACTTATATAAAAAATATATATATCCCAATTTGATTTTTTTTATTTTAATTACTTGTACTATAGAAAAGGCCTGTTTTTTTAAATTTAAAAAAATTATATGTCAGCTATTGGCCGACTTAATTATGACCCACTTTTGATACGCAACGCTCTATCTGTATATTCTAAGACAAAAATGTTATAATAAATTCACGATTTTTCTTAAAGACACTAAGCATAATTTTTTATTTGAAAAATTGTGACACACTTAACATATTCATCCGTTTACAAGAATGTCTTGTTTTTTTACTTATACTTTAGTCTTATTTTACTTTTGTCGATAAAACAAATACTTTTTATTTAAGTAAAATAATTCAGTTTCAATCGCTTAATGCACAGATTTCTGAGGGATAAAAAATCACCCAGTAAACTATTAAACTTCTACTAAATTAATAAAATTAGTAATTAAAAAATATACACTATAATTAATATTAACAATTGAGATTAATAAAAGCTCAAATTTAAATATGGAGTAGGTATTAAGAATATAATAGCGATTAGTAACATAAGCAAAGCATATATTTAATTAAATCATAAATTTACACAATATTGTAGAACTATGTATAATTAAAGGTATATAATATGTTTTTAATATATAATAAACATATGTAAAGATACACATGTATTATATGTATGTAAAAATACTATATTTAGAAAACACGCACCTATTCCTAGTTCTTAATGAAAACAAGTAACACCGCTGCAGAATCCGAAAGTTATGTACACTTTCAGAAAATATATTAGATATGTACCTAATTCCAGAATAGTTTATGCAATTTGTCATTCTGTATTTAATAAGTATATTAAACCTACTACACTTCATGGAGTAACTAGGTATTGAATCTATAAATACAAAAATGGATAAGCTCATGGAGTTTCCGTCCTGAAATAACATTTCATACATGGTTCACACAATAATAGTGTAGATAGCTGCGTTATCAGACGTACGGATTTTGGCGGGAAGTCTCGAAAGTATTAAAATAAATAAATGGATAAACATTTAATAAGTACTTTCAATTACTAGTTTTAAGAAATCCAAACAGACCTTGTCCGTTTTTCTCAGCAATAAATGAAGTCATTTTATTCATCTCTATTACGATTTCACATACGACATTAAATTACTGTGTTATACCCTATAATTAAATTAATGGGTAGGTACCTAATTGACGGTCGAGAAAGGTACGGACATAAGGATTCAATCTGGGTTTGAAGACTTACTCTCGTCATGTAAGGAGTGTGAGGCGGGCGATGTGGCGACCTCTATTGCGTCCGTGGCGGCCGCTACTGCGCCTGCGCCGGCAACCGACGCCGCGTTAGTGCATATACAACACATACACTCACATTAGCCAGTCATGCTATAGCGTACTGCACATTGATTACATTCTATTTGTTACGAAAATCGTGACATTTCGCTTATATATAAGTTTCCATTTATAAATATAAACTATACAGTTATAACCTTAATTGTATCTATATTACCTACATATGCAGGTACTACCTGCATAGAGGTCAATATGCTATGCTTGAACTATGCTCTACGCAGTGCATAAAAAAAAAATTTTGTTAAAAACAAAAAATCATTCTTGTACAATAAATACAAAAGAACAAATTCTATATTTATTTGTATTTATTTTAAACAAGATTTCACTTTTATGTTTCTTTTTTTATATTGGTCATAAATTTGTAATGGTACTGATTACTACGTCGTAACATCATGACTGCGTCTATGTCATTCTCTTAAGTTGGTACAGTCGTATCGTATCGGTTAAGCAACGTTCATTGTCAATAACTACTTTAACGTTAAATTATTATGCAAACACTTCGTGTATGAAATATATCAACACCAATATGTGAATGTGAACATAATCAAAACGGTAAAATCATGCTGTGTGCTGAACATGAATGAATAAATGAATGCTATGTTTTACATTGATAGTATAAGGTGTATATAAATACCAGCAAATAGCTTGAACACGAATTTTGGGCTACGTAACCAACGCAATAGCAATTTTAAATACAAAAGCATCCATTGCGCAAGTAATATAGTCTAAGGTTTTGATGAAGTTGCTTGCCGCGAACTATAACTACAATACTCTCATTGTGCAATATTATCCAAAATATTAATTTGTATCACAAGTTCCTATTTAGTTTCAAAGTTTTTTTTTATACAAATAATTACTTGTATTTTATTATTTTGTTTTTTATTTTTTGATTATTGTATGAATTATATTCAGCTTATAATGAATGTTATATAAAACACAAACAACATTTTATTGCTTTTAAACATAAGTTAAAGCATGACTAATATATTGAATAAATGCTTAAATTTGCTGGAATGTAACAAGACCAAAAAGACCATGAATAATGAGCATGCTACATAGAATTTATGATACTTTAAATAATAATGTATTATTTAAAAAGTGTCAAATAACTTGAACACGATTTTAATAACCTTTAACTTGCACAGTAACAGTTTTAGCTTCTACTGCGCAAGCTTAGTCTATAATTTTGTTCAAATTGTTTGCCATGACCTGTACATTACCTCTAACATTTAGTAGCTACAGTATAATAATAAACTTACAGTAGTTTATTATTATATTGTATCATGTTGTTATATCAGTGTTCTACAGAGTGGCTAAATAATAGTGGGGGTGTTATGTTAAAGAAAAGTGGTGACGAGAGCTTTAAAGGAAAACAACCATGAAACACAGACCACAAAACTAATTAATTATACAGATTGTCAGAAACGGAATAACAGTCGGAAAACTGTATTCATACTTTGATCTATATATATCCTTTGGTGAAAATTATTTAATAAAATTATAAAGAATGTATCTCGCGGCTAAATTTCATTCAAATTCATAGAAGTATTCAATAATTTTCATAGCTCTGTATTTATAACTTTTATAGAAGAGCACAGTGAGATGTAAGTTTAAGCAAACAATAGACACCTCATGTTTCGTGAAGCTTTACTGTTATTTATCATTAAGGGAAAAGTAACATACCTGACGGATCATACAACTCGATGTCTACGTAAGGTGGATGTGTAACGTCCGGGTTTTCGTAGAACAACTCGCAGCGAACCTCAGCCCCGTCCACTTCCTCTTTACTAATGGTCACATTAGCGCTGATGTTGTAAAGCCCATTGCTGGTATTTATCACGTGGGTAGTTAGATTGTCAACCTCTTTACTAAAAGGAACAATATATATTATATAGATATGTTGACGTACGATAAACAATACATTACATATATCCATCTAAATAATCCTTCTGAGCAGCAAACAAGCTGCTGACTCATTTCCCAAATGGTAACCTTCATATTACACACATCATAGATGCCTTAACATCCATGGTTCGTCTCATACGTTTTGTTCTTGAAAACTATGGTGTTATACCCGAATACCCAATAATTTCACTAACACATATAATACATATATCATTGTATACAAGTACATGTTGGCATTGATATACACATATTGCTTTTCAGCAGAAATACAAATAAGACAGTTAATAACTATGCAGATAACTCTTGTACAACCTCCTGTCTGGACATTTTTTAATACTGTACATTTTTTAATTTATTTACATCGATTACACTCATGCATTAACATCGTGGTTGACTGACCAGTAGTTATTTATTCAAATTCAGTCAAACCGAATTGTTAATCCTTTTCGTGTGCTCGCGACACAGGTTCGACTGTGTGGGACCCATTATATCTTGTGATTTACTATCTTTGATAAATAATAAATTTGTATCAGCATTTATTATCCATTGATCTTAAAAGGGACAGGGTAGTTTTACAATAAGATTGTGTTTTAGATTTATAATTTAGATTATTTTTAAATAAAAAAAAAATCCTATTTTAATTCTTTATGAAAAAATCATGATTTATTTTACAATGGGTTCTCTACGCTCTCAGAGATGTTCCCGCATATTCTTATATCTTGTTCTACTGACCCATTCACAGTTAGAGAGAGCTCTGGCTGCGGAGAGACGCCTTCCGCCTCGCATTCTAGTAGAATATCTTCCTCACTGTCGTCATCGGGCCCGTCCGCTACCTCTGATATATTGAGCTGCGGTCCACTGCCATTTACTAAAAAAAAAATATCAATTCTGTATATAAAAACAGATTACAAAAAAGAAAATTTTTATATACCACATACATTCACATATTTATATAAAGGTGAGAAATAAGAACAGTAGTGAGTTATTGTAAAAGATTACCATACACTTTAACACGCATGGTATCGCGAACGCAACCACAAATAATCTTTTTAATAAACCCCTAACTATTGTCCTTAGAGGATTAATTAAAGAGAATCTTAAGAGCTTTCGTACTAAAGCTTACTGAAGTATGGCAAAATCAGAATAATCTATCAATTTTCAGAAACAATGATAACAACTAAGTATTCAAAAATTTTCAATTAAATAACTAAATTACTAATCAGGCAACAAGATTCCTAAAGCTGTCATTGAAAATTTAGATTTATTTGGATATCATCGGCAAATCGAAAATGAGTGATATATTCGCCATTGATTTTATACCCGTTTTACCCGTTTATACCATATCTTTTCCAGCCCAGGAGTTTGAAAACATCTTTTAATGCAGTTTTAAAGCATTTTGGAGATATAACGTTACCCCGTCCTACACCTTTCTGCTCTGGGATGGGTTTCGTACCCTGGTTCTGCACTTGAATAAACATCGTAACCTTATTGTATATATACTTCGATATACCCATAGTCAAGCCGACACCGCTGGAGGGACTGTACTACCGCCCATATCTCGACCCAATCACAATTTTTTTCATAGTCCAAAAACACCAGACGTAGTAGAAGATTATACTCTTTGATCTTCTGTATAATCTGCCGTAGCGTATGTATGTAATCTATCATGATGAATCCTTTTCGGAAGCCAGCTTGTTCGGGTGGCTAAAAATCGTCCAGTTTGCACGTAAGACGATGGGTCAGGACTCGAAAACAGTATAGTCGCGACTCAGAAGGAATATCGGTCTATAGTTCTTTCTTAGGGTATTGTCATCCTTCTTGAAGAACAGAACCCCGCACTTCTGCTCCACGCTTCGGGCGTAACATCGTTATGCGTGACGAATTTAAATAGCCTCTGAAGGACTATAAGGTACTTGTGGTTTCCCACCCGTTCTCAAAAGCTCTGTTGTAATTCCGTGCTCCGGTACCTTGCCGTTTTTAATACCCGTGAAAAACGCCAATTGTTAGGTAAAGTTGTAGGATAAAACGATACAATTTCTTTGCGAATATTTTTGAAATAATAGGATAAACAGCGAACAATGATTTAGGCACGACATGGGTATCATAGTGTAATCTGTGATCTTACGGTACTGTTCACTATCACTTTCCATAAAAGTTATACTATCATATAAGAACGATCCTCCCATGCGATTTATTTGTTTCTTCTTTACCACGAAGTAAATACAAAGACGAGACTGCTTATCTAACTAAGTAATATTACTGCAAGGGACTAGCTGCAATGTTTGGGGCGTGGCGAACCCACTTTTTCCGGATTTCGAGCTCTGATGTGCTTAGTGCAGTTTCAAACCGATAATTTACTATTCCTACAACATTAGTACCATTATAATGACATGATATACTCTGGAATGTAAAATACTAGTAAGTGTGTGGAATATAAACATGGCAAAAATTTTAACCTAATAGTATTTATTTGCAATTAAAATTTGTTGAAAATTATGTTCAAAAAGTGTAGCGACATATATCGATAATTTTAAAAGAAAAAAAGTATTATAAAATCTGAAATATAAGCAAATAACAGTCATTTCTAAATGAGAATTTATTTTCGTTTATTGTTGATACTGTTGTAATTATTAGATATATGTTATAATTATATATATTAATAAGGAAAAAAATGGACGACGGTTGCAAAAATACATGTATACTGCGCTTAAACATTAATAAATACCGATGTTATTTTGAAATAGAAATTAGTCATGCCTGTCAGACAATCGTTGCGGCATCTTCGATAATACAGTGTTAAACTATTTCGTTCTATCCTCAGATGTTCTCAATTCACTTTTAGGCTCTTCAAAAAGAGCGCACGTGACACCCCTAGTGTTGCAGGCGTCCATAAGGTACAGTGACTAGTTACCATCAGACGAGCTATATACTTGTTTGCCACCTTCGTAGTATAAAAAAGGCAAATTGACCACTTAATTTCATCCCCAAACCAATCACGCTATTTTATAGAGAAGAAATACATTATGTTACCTTATCTTTGTATTCACTTATTCTTAACAATAGTATGCATACTACTACTACACATACTTGTATACATACTACTAAAGAGTAATACACAATAAAAAAACGCCGAATTTTAATTAATGTGATACAGGGAACATTTTACATGTTACTGCATTTTCTATGTGTGTTTTCGACATAGATTATAATGACTTATTAGTACATACTACAAACACTTACATAACTAAATTAAATAAATGAAAATATACAACTTACAATACACAATTAGTTCTTTATGCATACGTATTTCCGTAATTCCAAATACTTCGCATTCGTAGTTGCCGGAGTCTGTATATTTCATGTCTGTTAATAGTATAGTATCATTTCCTAAGTGTTCTGTAAAATAAAAACATTTTCATAATAAATAGTCCTCAAAAAGAGTCGGTATATTTGTGTTAATATCTCAAATAAATAATTAATGCGAATGTTATTGTTTCGATATCACGCGAATCAATCGAAAATCACCTAGAGAATTTATTATGGACCCTTAAATTTTAAGAGTTAAATCTAGAGCTTAAAACCTGAGTGTCATCTATTAAAGGGAGTTACCCTGCAAATTGTCAATAAAACAACAAAACAGGCCAGTGTATCTTTTAGAACTACGACTGTACCGTATATTATGTGAGAGCACCAAATAATCGAAACCTACCTTTCTACACAAAATCATACACTAGAGAGGTCAAGCAGTGTTATTTGATCCATTTTGCCGATATTGAATATGCAAAAAATATGCGCCAGATTTCTTTTTGAATTATTTAAAATACCATCAAAGTTAAAAATGGATGCCTCTGGTATTTATTTAGATGATATCTGCAAACTCTTCTGGATATATCTTTAATTTTAGGGCACATCTTATCACTTCAGATTATATATTTACAAAATATTACAGAAATTGATCCAGTAATTTAGCTCTAATACGTAGGTAATAAAGACACTGACGCACTGTTACATTTATAATTTAACCACAGTGGAAGAGATCTTTAAACTGTGATAAAATATTCATAGAGGCCGAATTTATAACAACTATTGGTAAATTGTAAAATAAATAAATCATATTCAAATATAACTCGTGTTCATCATAAGTACTATAGTATGGAGTGGGCATTAATTTGTGTGCTTAGTACGCATAATAGATTTTTTATTTACCTATATTAGAATGAAGAATAGAGACATCACTTTCCAATCTCTGGTAGAGCTGCTTTTTGTCTCTTTCTTCTTCATCGACGTAAAGCGGTGTCCACCACCACTTAACATATGGAGCTATGGTGTCGCTCGCGTCTAAACTGAACTGGCACTGAAGTTCCGCATTCTGACCCGTTTCCACAGCGTTTGGTACAACGAAAGTCGATATTGACAATTGTCGGCTCCCTGAAATTTTTAACGTGCATATTTTTAAAATAAATATATAAATTATTTATAACACATACGTATTTAAAAATTAAAATATTTAGATTTTTCGTGTTAAACTAATTATTCTCAACATAAAAATAGATGGATCAATTAGTTCGTGTAGTAACAGTATTGCATATAAAAAGCATTTTCCTTGATGATTCATGAATGCAGAACTATATTTTGTAACCAATTTTCAAAATTCTATTCCAGGCTAAATTAATTTACCGTAAAGAAATACATAGGCAATTGTAACGCTTTCTATACCTATTTGCATATAAATCTCTCTAATTACACAAATGTTATAATTATATAAAAAATATGTTCTAATTTGACGTCTAAGTAGATAGTGTATAATTTACATATTTATAATATTTACCGACAAATGGATATAAAACTACAATACATAGGCGTATTTAAAGAGCTGGGTGGGCCGTGCCCACCTCAGATTTATTTGATGCCACCCCAGGATACGAGCGAAACTTTAACTATTTGTAAAAACATGTTTAAATACATAATATACCTTTTTAAGGGACCAGCCCAGTAATAAGGTAATTAACGCATGATAAATTTCACCAGGAAACTTTATACAAAAATCATTTGCGTTTGAGTACTTCAGTCTCATTCATGTTTGCATACCTGTGTGTCGGTTTAAAAGATCGACCTTTCAAATTACTTTCGTATTGGGAAATTATAGGAGACAGAGGCATAACACCTTAATGCTCAAGAATGGCAACGCCTCATGCGTTACTATTTTCCATCAGGTGGGCCGTTGACTTGTTTGCTATTTTAAATTCCACAATAAAAAGTAATTAATAGACCCTGAAATATCTCTAACGTTACAAGGCTAAATTTTACTCTAAGAAAATGCAAATCAAAATTAATTAATCATCCCAATTTCCTTACGAAATAGTTAAAATAATTAATAAATAAATACAATATATTTATCCATCATACAATATAGCATCCAATTTATATATGTATTTATAATTTTTTTTAACTACTTGGGTATACCTAATATAAATTTTAGAATGCCAAAGTTTCGGAAACGTTTATTATAGACTATTCTATTTATATCGACTTGTAAGAAATTGGGTCATATCTCAATGAATAAGCGACTATCTTGGTCAACCTTGAGGTGGCCCGAGAATGTTAAAAATACCGCGGTCGGGATCGGGAGCAGCGCGGGATAAGCGTACTCGCCGATGTATTTGAATTATTCAATAGCCACAATGCCAGTAGATCTCCACCTAAACGATACAAGTGCAGATTTACAAGTGTCTTTCAATGCACATTGCACTAGGTAACTTCCGTTATTACAAAGATTCTGTATTTTTTGTCCAATAGGAAATATTGAATTGTACGTCGTTAATACCGATGTACCTTTACGCACTTAAGGAGACCTAGCCTTCCTTGGTTCATATCAATTATGTTAACAAAACTTGTTTAAAGAAAATAGCAAGCTTCAATTTTAACAAAATAAGTATGGCACCGTTAAGAAAGCACTCTTGCTTTCAATTAATAAAACTGTTTGGTCAAGATATCGAGTGTTATATACGTACGTAAAAAGTACAATCAAATTAAGAACTTCCTCCTTTTTAGTAGTATTTTATTAAATATAGTACAAAACCTATATATTACTTTAATAAAGTTACCGAATATTTTTTTTTTATTTCTGAACATTTGAAAGTAATCTAAATAATATTAAGATAATGTACCAACTCGAGAATACTCACTATGATATGCCGATTACAAATATTACATATCCATTCATGATTCCATGTTTTACAAATACGTACCATATTATTTCACTAGTACCAAATTTATATATTGAGATAACGCACTTGCTTTCAGTCCTCTTTAGCACTTTGAATATTAAATAATTTAGCATACACATTAACTGGTGTTTACAAAACTATCAAAACCATTATTTTATAAACATGGAACACGTCCCTATATTTTAAATGAAAACAAACACAGATTATATGTAAACACTAGGCTCACCTGCCACTAGGCACAGCATCAGGCAACAAGTGCGCAACATCGCGACGCCCCGCGGCGTGCCGCGTGTGACTTGGAGACAGCGTAAACTACGCGACTGACTGCCGCTGAATGTCCGCCCGCCCTTCGACTACAAATTGGCCTTGAGCTAACACTGCTCTACACCAAGTAACTATTGCACATCAATGTAAACAACAATCAGCAGAATGTTGTCGTCTCAAAATAATGTTGCAGTAAAGTCTGTGGTGAATTCTCTCAATGATTTTTAATACTGAAACGCGTTTAACATGTTACTATCCCGCAAATTTGTTTTCGTTTGGCGGGTGATTGCATCAGTGCTATATCTGATTTCATTCATTTTGTTACGTACAAAACATAGCTTCATTTTAGACATATGTAGGTGAACCATATATTTTTTTAAACTCCAAATACGTTATTTCAATTTGTAAATGTATCTACTACTAGAATAACATTCAATAGTTATGTATAAGAAAACATGTGTAATTTAAATGTATATGTTATATTTATTAATTACTCACTTTCATTATTTTTAAATACATATTTTATTAATAACTAAATAGTATAATTATACACAATAAAAAAAATCGTCATTCAGTACGTTTATTTATGATAATAACAGGATTCTTACTATGATACATCATATATAAATATATTTCGATTTAAATAAATAATTTTAAGCTTACACATATCGTGATTACATTTATGGATTATAATAATATGTAATATGTTTACAATCTTCAATTACGAATTTTTAAAAACAATCGACTTGTCTGGAAATTTATCCACTCCAATTAGTATAGGAGCAACGAGTGCGATATCTTTCGACTTTAAAATACTGATCAGTCATTTTACAATTGACATATATATACCACATATCTGAGTTATACACAAAATCGAAATGAGCATTCAAAGTCTGTCAATAGGTACGGTAATGTTAAAGAGCGAATCGCTCGAGCAGCCTGTCGGGGAACGTGATGCCGGCGAAGAGCCGCGGCGGCGGCGTGGCGGGCGTGGCGGGCGCGGCGGCGGCACGGCGCGCGGCCAGGGCGATGGCGACGGTGTCGGCGTGGCGCGCGCGCGGCACGTCCCCGCGCAGCGCCAGCAGCCGCACCAGGTGCTCCTCCGCCAGGTCGGGACACTTGCTCACCACGCCCAGCACGTCCAGCGACACCATCTCCGCGTCCTGGCACCGCAGCACCTGCACACCACCGCACACCGCGCACACACTCACGCTACACTCTCTCCGGGGGGGAGAGGGATTGTTAGTAATGGAGATTGACAATCCCATTGCTTAGACAATCCCAATATACCCAACCAGGTCGACCTCTTCGCGGTTCCCTCTGGAAACTATCATGGTCAATTCCTGATGAATTCATAATGATGGGCTAACTGGCCTGTTTTCATTCTCATCTATCACCCTTCACTGGTGCTCCGCCAGCGTATCCCGTTAGTGCAGGCGGAGTTACCATTCCATTTTTACCCATAAAAAAAAACCCTCTCCGGTAATTTCTTGTGCACTCGACGTGTAAAACACTGCCACGACACGTTATATGTCACAGCCTTATAGTTCGAACGGAAACCATCGTTATTAATTCCTAGTTGTCATAATGGACCGACTGATGAGCTTCATCTTTATCTATCATTATCCATTAGTGAGCTGCCAATTACCATTTATTTATTTATTTATTCATTAGTACAAATATATCATGTGTACATGGCGGACTTAATGCTAAAAGCATTCTCTCCCAGTCAACCATAGGGAAGTGTCAGAATACTCGAATGCGGTTCTACTAATTATTGATATACATACATACTAAAATTACATATATAAACGAATAAATATATATGAATAACAAATATATTTACACATATATGATATATACTATATTATACAATAAATTGAGAATAATATAAAGCACTTACTGCTCGGATAAAGTAAAAAAGTGAGTATGAACGGTTTTTTTTAAAGCCTTACAGTTTCCATCTTTATATTTGATTTACAAATTTTGTAAAGAACCATACATAGACTACTCCTGTGTAATCTAGAGTTTAATCGACTCAACGAAATACCACATTATTCGCATTCAAAATATCTCAAAGAAATCAAGGCGAAAAGACTTCGGCCACTTTGTATTGCCTGTATGATGACTTAAGAAACCGAAACATTAAAGAACTGATATAGAAAAGAAAATATTTAAGGTATTACCACCTAGATGGAGCGACATCACAATATGTTGCAAGGACTCAATAGATGCAAAAGGCTCTAGACCGGATATCGAAATCTCCATAGATTACGATACCCCATGGTATAGGTACCTATAAATAGCAGTGAATGATAAATGTTTAAAAAAATATATAATAATAATATATTATGAACTCACCTCAGCCAACATGGTTATAACTTCAAACGGCCAATCAACATTTACACCATCAGGAGCGATCTTTTTAAAAAATGCCCTTATCTGATTCGCTTCTTTGACAATTTTTGTGGCGGCCTGCTGTGCCTCTTCTACGACTTTAAAAACGATTTTCTTTGACAACATGGCTGTTATATATTTCTTGTAAACCAAATTTTGAGCTTCATTTATAACATACTCGAAATTCTTTTCTCTTAAATGGTTATAATCTTGGAAATAGTCGTCCAGTGTGATGCAAATAGTGTCAACAGGGATACTCGATTGTACCCATTTTTGTGTAAATAAATCATCAAAATGACATTCTAAATCGAGGAATGCTTCTTCTAATAAAAACTGAGCAGCTTCATCTCTAAGTTTCTGAAACAATAATTAGCGTGTCTTACTTATAAATGAAATTTTTACTAATATTAAAAAAAATTATCATTATGAAATTTTGTTGCGCATATTATATGGGTCAAAGGTCATGTGGTCAAAGCCACAGGTAAAAGCTAGTGATGTTTGAAACATGGAACCGACGAATACTTATGTATAAATGAAATTCATGAAGCAAGAGATGTATATAAGGATAGAAATATTTGGAACTCTATCTGCCTGCGCCTCAAGGATGCGACTTAAACAAACGGCAAACTATTTTATCAATAAATATCTTTTCACAACCGCATGCATAAGATAGAACGAAACAATAACTTTTAGCATCTTATTCATTTTCATGCGTTTGGTAATGAAAATTTATAAACTGATAGACTCGTTTGCCACTTGTCTAAGGAATAGAGCTGGTGTGAAAATAGATATAATTTATATTTGTTCGGCAATAAAAAACCTACCTGGAATGTTTGGAGCATGTTGTCGAACTTGGCCTCAGCGGGCGGGTCGTGTTTGCCGGGCGGCCAGTGCCGCGCCTGCGTGTGGTGCGCCAGCTGCACCATCTGCTCGCTGTTGTTCACGATCGTGATCATGTGGTGCGTGAAGTACGCGACGCGCGAACGGTCCGCGAAGTGCGCGTTCTGTACAAATAGTATATACATTAGACTTTTTTATGTTTACCCTTCAATAATAAATAGTGAGTTTGTTTGATTGTTACCACTTAGCACTCAGCTTAACCGTTCACTATGGGGAGAAAGGGATTGTTAGTAATGGAGACTAAGAATCCCATTGCTAGCAATATACCCAACCAGGTCGACCTCCTCGCGGTTCCCCCTGGAAACTATCATAGTTATTTGCTGATGAATTCATCATGATGGGTTAACTGGCCTGTTTTCATTATCATCGATCACCCTTTACTGGTGCTCCGCCAGCGTATGCCGATAGCGCAGGCGCAGTTACCATTCCATTTTGACACATCAAAAAAAATACGCTATGAAATTTAGTATTCACGTACTATATTGGATGGTAAAGAACATAGGCTACTTTTTCTTCTAGTCAAGCTAATTTAATATATATTTTCTTATTTATATAAAATTATCTTGGAAATTGTTAAATCTTTATTCTCAGGAGTGATAATGATGATTTAGATTTGACAATTGCTTCAAATTTAGTTCTTGAAGGACTAATACTAGCATCGATGATACAATCGGTATTACCGCGACAGTAACGTTGCTGCAATGCGTTTTGTTGGCTGTAATGTTTTATCGAGGTTTCGAGGTTTTAGCAAGTACATCAATGTTGTAACACGTTTTAGCAACTTGTTAACAAAAGATTTATCTCCCACGCAAGTCGAGGATAGGAGAATGAATATGTAAGAATCTGTTTCACCTTATAAAGTTTGAAAAAAGATATAATAATTTGAAACAGCTACCTGTTTTATAATTAATTTTATAAAAATTTTAACTTTTAATTTAAAAAATATTTAAAATTAACTACCTAGTTAATCTACTGTTATTAAGTAGGTATTTAATTTTAATTTTTTAAACATATATTTTTTTTATATAATACGAAATGTAGAGAGTTAAATAATATTCAGTAACAGTGTGTATACATATATAACATAATAAATAAATATGTTTTATTCTGTACTGACATCATACATAGTAAAACACTAACCTTGAATTGTATGACGCCCTCTCTGTACATATTCCCAAATCGTGTCACCTGTTCAATACTCAAAACCAATGCTTTGAAAGTCACCTCTTTACTGATAGTTTCTGTAACCTGAAACAAATTACAAAAGTATTGACACTGCCCTTCATTCATAGCGATCAAATTTAATTCACATTTCTACTTGCTACACCTTAAACATTTTATCTTACATTAGCTTCAGTAATAGCAATACATGGAGTCACAGCATACACTGTGTAAACAGTAATGTTCTATCTATAGAGAATGGGTACTATACCAGTTTGGATCGGATGGTCCGCACAGTATTACCTGCAAGTTCTGGTCGATCATTTGGAAGATGATGACGGGCGCGTGCGTGTGGTACGCGTTGGAGTGCGGCTCGACGTCGGGCGCGCGCTGCCCGCCCCACTCCGCACGCTCAGACTCCAGCGTCTTCTCCATCCACTCCATGTAATTCGACTGCATTTTCTGTTACAAACAGATCGATGCACTTTATACTTTTTTTTTTTACATATAAAAAAAATAACTAGACAAAATTTATACGTTTCTTACATTCTTATTCATAAAAACATTATATCTATCATAAACCTGATCTAACTTTAGCTATTGAACTGTTTTATCTCTGTCTCTTGTGCTAAATTCTCAATTTGAAAGAAAGTGACATAACAATGTAATAGTTAAAATATATTTGTAGGAGATTTTAGTTTTCATGAACAAGAGAATTCATTTTTAGAATTTTTGTCTGTCTATCTGTATGATTGTTCCAGTATCACACAGAAACTAGTATATCAAGTTGGATGCAGTTTACACAGTTATGTTCATTATCATCATTAGAATTATTTTTTTTTACAACACAGGCATGCGGCTCACCTGATGGTAAGTGACTACCGCCGCCTATGATTACCCACAACACCAACAGCATTGCAGATGTGCTGCCAGCCTTTTAAAAAGGAATATGCTCTTTTCTTGAAGGTTATGTTGTTGTATCGGTTCGGAAATACTGCTGCTGGAAGTTGATTCCAAAGAGTGGTTGTGCTTGGAAGAAAGTGTCTTGGGAAACGCACGGTGGAGGACTGTATATAATATTTTTAAATACATAAACAGTCATTAAAAATACCTGCAAATATTCGTCTTGCAATTTCTGCATAGTTTCGTCATTGAGTAGTGGGGGTAGTGTTGATACATCGATATTTAGTTCTGAACTGCTCATCAGCTCATTGCCAGGATATGTATTAAGGATCCAAGAGAGTAAAGTTACATATTCATTACCTTCTATGCCATTTTGAACGATATCTTGTAACTGAAATAAAATATATTTAAATAAAAATCTAAAAGTCAACAATATTCAAAACAATACCTTTTTGTTTTTATGAAAATATTTTCAAACAAGACAAATTTCGGAATGTATAATAATATCTTATCAACTTGTAGGTACTTTTCTAATTTATTTGCTATTTGCATATAATAACTTAAAAAATTACATTAACAATAAAATTATAGCAGCGAATTGATATTTATTACTTATTAGACTAACCCAAAATACTTACACTAGAAGATAAACATGTATGATACATGTGGACATATTTATTGACAATATCGTAATGTGGTGGGAAGCAAGGCACACAGAGAGTCTTCACCACCCTCAGATCTTCGAGTATAAGTTGTCTGGTCAACTCTAAATAACGGACCAACCAAAGTTTGTTGTCTTCACGTTCGTCCACACGTGTCCCTTCTACTCGTTGTGCGACGGCGCATTCTAATACGTCAAATGCTTTTGCACGCCATCCTTTCGGTCTCCCAGGAGGCATAAACCCTGACTGATTTTGTTGCTGTAAATTTCCATATAATAGTGAAGAAGTTATATTTCATAATATGGTTTGTAAGGTTCAATCTTGTATAATGGTTCTAAACAAGTCATGGTTAGTCTCCATTATAACTGAATTAAATTTGACGAGACGAGATTATGCATATTTCAGAGAAAAAGCAAAGGAAATCACTGTTGTGATCTTCGATCATTCACCGCTCTGACATCAAAGTACATGTACAGACGAAACAAAAGGCAGATCAGCCGTCAAAAATTCACAATATTTTAATCGTTAGCGGCAACACTTCAGTCCCCTAACTTAGAGTACATAGTCGAGTACCTCTTTACCAAAAAAAAATTATCTGGGTAGTCAACTATGCAATATTAGGCCTCCAAAAAATTCATAAGCATTCTATAAACATGTTCTTTTTTCACGAGTTACTTACATCCTTCAGACTATCAACGAATATCACAAAAAGTATTAACCTCGTAGTTTTTGAATCTGAAATTAAATTGTGTTAATCTTCCCCTGATTTAAATATGCATCTCACGTGGCCATTAAAGATTAAAATTACTAGCAGTCAGATTAAGTAACAAGTACAAAATAATGTAGAATAGTAAAAAGTTAAACCTGTTAGCATGCAACTTTATTACATTTAATTAAAAACTGATCAAGTTGGAAGATACCTAATTCTCAAGTTCTGTTAAATTTGATGATGATCACACAATCTTATTTATTAAGAAATATTTTTTAACTTCAAGAACACCAAAGTATTCATTAACATCGACTTGTATGTATACACACCTGCAATGCCATCTGGTCTCTTTTCTCTTCTCTTTCAATTATCCTTAAGGCGGTAACAATAACGGTAGGTTCTTTACGAACAGTATTTAATGTTCTTGCTAGTATTAATTTAATTTGCTTTTCAAGTAAATTTGAAACCATTTCTACATCTTCAAAATAGGCTTTTAACATTATTTTATCGTGTGACGACTGATTAGGTAGTCTATGTAACTCATACAATAAATCGTCTCTTGAATTCTCCAAATCATTAAGACACTGGAATTATAAAAATTATGAATTAATTAACAACACAAAAAATATACACACAAGTAATATTACAAAGAGGAAAGATTTGATTTTGTTTGTTTGTTATGATTTAAATCAAAAAGTGCTCAACCGATTTTAAAAATTATTTGACCGTGAGAAAGCTACATCTTCGCCGAGTAACGTAGACTATATTATATTTAAAAATTAGAGATCCCTGCCTAAATTGAAACAATGTAACCCAAGGTATCAAAATGTTATCTACATAAGTCATTATTTTGCGTGCGCTAAAAAACTATTAATAATATGTGAAATAGTATATATATATATATATATATATATATATATATATATATATATATATATATATATATATATATATATATAACAGTTTTTGTTCATAATATTAAGTTCAAATACGGATGGAACGAAATAATAGTGATATTGGTATCATGATATTAATCCTTATCCACTTAAATGGTTTGATTTAGGCTGATTATGTACGTGTAAATTTCACATTTAAGTATTCAGATCGGATTTTTCGTTTAGAAGTTATGACGGATATAAAAATTCTCCAAGTAAGAAAAATGTTATGGTTTGAATAAACTGTTCTACGTTTAGTCTATTAAAAGTTTAATATATTAATAATATTTTACGTATTTACATTAATAATAGTTTTTAAATTTGAAACTTTAATTATTAAGTATATTTTTTATATTAAAATGTACATTTTTTATATAAAAATATAAACACTTATGGAATTACACCCGTACGAAACCGGAGTGTGTTGCTTGTCATTTTACATATGTAATTACTTTCCGTATCCCTTGGTTTCCTTTGTGATCATATCGTAATGTGGAATAGGCTATAACTTTCCACAAGAAAAATGAGCTAGCAAATGCAAAAATAGTTTTCTAAAATCCGATTAATAATTGCAGAGATTAGCGCGTTCAAACAAACTCTTCCACTTTATTATATTAATATACATTTAGAATTTTTATTAACTTAACTTTAAAAAGCACTTCAATGTTCTGTTGAGCAAAGGCCTCCTCTTTATTGACGAAATAATACTTAGCTCACTCTACTTACCAAAGTTTGCCATGACTTTTCAAAAACATCGAAGTAATTATGCCTAATAGTAATTGTTGTTGTTCAATGTCCAAGTTTATTTTTATTTTTGAAATGTAGTTCATTTTTAAACATTTATATATTATATAATTGGACAACAGAAATCTATTTTCCCCGTACAAAAGAGAATGCTGCGATGTATATATCGCGTTACTCTGAAGACTCTCAGGTGAAATAAATCCAATTGCCGGAAATAACAAACATAGTAAATTCATTTAATTCCTGTTATATGTTTCCAACATTGAAGTCCTATTGGATTATTTTGTTTCATCTTTTTAAAATATTTTTAATTGTAAAGAAAGTGAAAAAATACTTACTTCATATTTTTATTATTACAGATTTTCTACATTTTCAAGGACTTTATTATATGGATACAAATCTTACATACCTGGTGTGCATGGAGTAATTTTCCTTCTCCAATCCACTGTTTTGTTTTAGCCACACTCTCAGGTACTGTAAAGATATGTTTTAAGCTGTCCATAGCTGTGACATATTGTGAATGACGAGAATCTTCTTCACGTACTGCTTGAAGTGAGGCTACTAATGGTGGTACCCCTTTTAAAAGTTCTTCCAATTCATCTATTCTGCAACAAGAAGAAAATGGCATAAAGCTTAAAGTTGAATAATTAATATTTACATTTAAATATCATATATTATAAACTAATAGAGGTAGTAATTATTTGTCATGTAGATATCATAGTATTATAAAAATCAAGTACATATGAAATTGCTAATATTTTTATTGTTATTAACTTACTACTATTGTAAAGTCATACATTTAGTGTAAATAAAGACCATAGACCACCACATACTATAACTGACAGTTCTTATGATTTCATCCACATGGTGAACTATATTGATACTTATATATATTATTTGAACTTGCTAATCTCTGAAATAACCATTTGAGTTTGAAAAACGTTTTGCATTTAATAGCTCATTTCTTAAGGTATGTTCTATAGGCTATTTAATATAATGATACTACCACAGGCAAAGCAAGGATATGACTAGTTAAGTGATAAGAATATAATTCATTATTTGATATTAGCAACACAGTAGATATTTTCTTAAATTTAATTATCCATTTAAAGAAGTCCTCTAGTTTTAATATGTCTGTCTCAAATATGAATAAAAATGTACTTTTATAATTAAAAAATATGCAAATTATTTAATAAAAAGAAAAAACTCAAAAAATTCAAATCTCAATTTTACTGTGGTACATACAATATAATTGAAACAAATAATATTCTATCAAATTATAAAGTTCTTATATAATTATGTAATTTACCAGAGGGAGACTTTGTACAAAAGTCAATTGCTTGGGTATCTCTGTCCCATTTGTGTTTCAACCATAAAGCAGTTGTGTTTGCATGACTGTGTTTTGGTTTGAAAAGTGAGATATAGCGTGAATTTACAGGGTACAGAGGATTAACACCTGAGTCCTCAGGAATGGCAACACATGGGAGGTATCATGGGCTAAACAGTATACTCTGTTATGTCCATGGTACTGCTCATGTCTATAGGCGACGGTTACGACTTTCCATCAGGTGAGCCATCAGCTTGTGTTCTGCCATTCTAAGTAGTATAAAGAAAAAAAAAATATTATAAATTAGTAACAAACTTTAGACTGATCTCTTGTACATCATCGAGGCATTCTTTTAATTGCTTGAGTCCCACACTGACACCATCCAATTTCCCTTGCACTGCTGACTTTAATTGTGCTTCTATTGAGGCTTTTTTGTGAGTAATCCTTTTTTTATACTGTTCTACCTGAAAATAAGAGCAGAGAAGAACATTGTACTTAATCAAAAAAAAAGGAAACATCTAACCTATTTATATTAAGATTATAAATTTATTTCATATATATTTATATTGATGTTAATTTAATTTTTTTTTTTGTAGTAAAAATTAATTTTTAAGTCACACATGTTTAATCAAGATATTCATTCTTATATAAAAGTCTAATAGATCAATATGATGTTATTGTGTTTCACAGCTCATCAAAAATCAAGTATATGGTATTTGGCAAATAACAAACAATTTTTTCTTTATTAAATTTTTCTTTAAAATAAATTTAATAAACAAACAATTTTTTCTTTATTAAATTTATTAAATTTTATATAGTAAATTTTATTATATAATTCTATACGCCAACTGGTTTACTGCCCGAACAAACCATAAATTAAATAATTTAGAGTAACCATGGGTCAAAATCAAATTTGGTTTTTTTTATTTTGACATTTAGTATGACTAGATGCAACATTTTATTTTGACTGTATACCATTATTATGAAGCTATGAGATTAGAAGAATTATTCCACTGATACAGAACAGTATTATTCACAAAATTATCTATTATGCAGAGGTATCTATATGTACAATTCAGCTCAGTTAATTTAAAGGGTAATGTAATTTTGATAATTTAATATTTAAATTATCAAAATTACATGATAGAAAATATATAAATTCTAATGTTTATGTGGTTAATTAATTAAAGTTAATGGCTGATATGATGATATCTATATGTAATCTATAAATTTTAAAGTGTATACTTATTGATAATATCTTACTAATATTATAAATGTTAAAGTTTGTGAAATTATTTGGATATTTATTATTTAATGATAGTTAAGTGAATGAATGGATTAAATATTTTACATTTATTATGAGAGCAAAGCTACTGGAAATAGATATATAAATAAACTCCTTAAGCAAAAAATTAAAAGATTATTGGAACTTTAATGGAAACATTAACATTCAATTCAACTTTATTATTTAAGAATTAAACATACTTTTTCTAGTTGTCCTGGCCGCTGCATCATATTCATAACCATTTTTTCTGCTGCCGCTTTGGCTTCTTCTTCTATTTCGTCCATGGAACTCATAACGGAGAACAAAATTTAATTGGAATGTAGTTGTATAAATAGTTAACACCTAAGAATGATATTTGAATTTATTTATGTAAATTTGACATCAGATAATATAACTATTATATGTATTAATTAATAGAAATTTAAAACAATTATGTTGAAATTTAAAAATTATTTAAGTAGGTATCAATAAAAAGTAAAAAAAGATTAGGTATAATAAATATATATAGTAAAAGCTAGCGATGGGCGATTCGAATCAAAAAACTCGAGTTACTCGAGCTGAATTGCCGCCGGCTCAATTCGAACTAGCTTTTCTATCAATTCGAATCAACTCGTATAAAGCCAATACGGCGCTACCTACGTTACAACCGTGATATGAATGCGATCTACGCTCGGATCACTGTAGCACGCAACTCGGCCGACTGTGTTCGTCATAACGTCGATTCAGTTGCTGTGAATGCTGTGTGGCTGTGTGCGTGCGACGCAACAGAAACATTATACAACGAGCAAGACTCTCGTGTGCGTGATATTTCTGTCAGCGTGTTTTACAGTTACACTCCGCGCGCTATATCATGGTGCGGTGATAGTTGAGATTTTGGCACTTTTTATTATAAATTAACAGAATAGTGTTGAGTGAGATTTATGGAGTCAAAGTCAATCTAATAATATATTTATTATTTTTATATGACTGGAAAAGCAAGTTACTGTTACCAATCCATAGATTTGTCGCATACAATGAACTTTCGTAAATTATCTATGCTTTACTGTTTGCGTTGTACAAGTATTTTGAATTATATAATTATTAATATATTATAATTATTTACTTATATGTGTATGTACCTATTACCTGCACTGCACCATGCCATAGCGTGTGGTGTATAATACTCGACATAACTACACCAACCGAACAAGCTGCGAAGCAGAATGAGATAGTAACATCACATGAGGCGCAAGTTAAAGGAAGAGAAGGCGATTGGTTCATGATTGGCTGACGACGAGCTTTTTTTTTAGAAATGTTACTGTTCCGTTTTTTAATATTTAGTTAATTAATTAATGTTAAAATAAATAGTAAAAATATAAGTATTAAACTTTTATGTATTTTTTTAGGTGATTACATAACTATTTAAATTTTTTATAAAATGAAATGAAATTTATTTGATTGGGATTAAATTTGTATTTTGTTATTTTTTACTTTTGTATTTTTTACGTTTTTTTTTTTTTTTTTTTGAAGTCTGTTGATTTTATTTCAAATTTATTTATTTTTCCATTTTTAGTATATTTTTATATTTACATTACAAATTTTTAGGATTTCCTTCAATTTTCATGGGATCCAGATTCTGACTTGGTGACAAAAAAAGAATTTTCATAATCTTTTTTGCGATAGAATTATCCCTTAATTCCTATATAAACCTAACCGTTAAGGAGTTGTACTTCATCATCAGCTCATCTGAATATTACTTGAAAAAAACTACTAACGATCTAAACGTGCCTAATATTTCAGGAATTACCTCTTAACTCCTAACCGTTAAGGAGTTGTACCACCCATCATCAGTTAAACAACATAAGATGATGACTACCAAACGCAAATATCTGAATAGCTTTAGAAAGTACATGAAAAATATTGTAGGTGTCTATAAAGTATAGAGTTGCTCTCGATTTCCCTGGGATCCCATCATCAGATCCTGACATGGTGACAATGGGACCACCTCAAGATAATACCCCTTCCGACAAAAAAATAATTTTCAAAATTGGTCTACAATTGACGGAGTAATCGCGTAACAAACAAATAAAAAAACATACAATATTAGTCGAATTGAGAACCAGCTCCTTTTTTGGAAGTCGGTTAAAAATAAAAACCTATATTTTAAATATTAGTATTTTGTATTTTTCTTTCAAATTAATAGCTCGAAAGTAAAGAACAAAACTGTTCTATAACTAAAATAGATTGATAATATGAATTCTGAGTGTTTACTACGTTACACTAGTATATTTTATTCGAATTGATTGAAACCCGCGAGTTCGCGCTATCGACGATTTAAATCTAAAGCGAGTTAAGTAACCGACCTACTGAGTTCATATTCAACTGCAGTATTGACTATACGAAGTGAATGCGAGCTGATTCGAGCTGCGATTCGAATCAGCCACCATTTCAATTCGGTTTACTCGAATTCAAAACTATACGAGTTGGCCCATCGCTAGTAAAAGCTGATAGTAAACTGTCAAACAAGATTCTGAACGTCAGTAATTTGACATTGCAAAAGGCAAAATCAATATAGATTAAGGATAAGGATATGTGATTCCCATAAATATGATATGCTCAAATGTGTGATTGCATTGACAGTCAATCGATACGTAGTACGTTATATTACGCCTATCATATGAACTAAAATCAAAGATTCTTTTTTTATCAAATTTTTGTTGAGGCTTTAGTACACCTTAGTGACTATGCCAGCCTCATAAGGATTATCTGAATGTCAATCTGTCAAGTTACAATTCCGGCTACCTTTCACCAGCAAATGTAGAAGGTTTTCCACTTTATCACAATACATACAATTTGGTGATTATTTCATTCCTATAAGATGATAAAATTTGTTAAGTGGAACCACCAACCAGACCAGATCGTATCCTGAACGCTATCAATAATAACCAGGGTATTAATGAAGGCATTTTATGTATAGTTTTATACCATATTCCCTTTAAACCTGAACAGTTTTCAAAGTGGTTTTCCATTTCGTGACACAATATCTACAAATGAGTTCATTTACATGAGGGTTACAAACAATTTCTGTTCCATCCTCAATAGCCTGTTTGGCTGCCTGATCTACTATTTCATTCCCTGGCATTCCTATATGTAATGGTATCCATTGAAGTTTTACAGCTGCATTTCTTTGTTGTAAGATACATACCAGCTTTAAATCCTCATAGGTTATTGGCATACCTCGTGTACCCGAGATACACCGAGCTAAGTGATAGAGAGCACTCTTTAAATCCGTCAGTATAACAATTTTTTGTATATGTAAGGTGAAAGCATATGCCGATGCTTTAGTAATTGCTATCAATTCAGCTCTCATTATATAGATATTTTTATTAAGTTTCCACAAAACAGTTTTTCTAAGCCTCGAATCAAATAGTGTCGCCTCTACATCTCGAGAATCTTTTGATCCATCTGTATTCTCATATTTTATGAAATTCCTTATAGTTCGTCTTCAATATATACATAGTAAGATATTTCAAAAAAGAACCATTAATATTACGTTTTGCGTTGTTGACATCTTTTACATCTAAATACAAACAGGACTTCACATCAATGGATGTAATCCAACTATTTAAACTATACATATCAAGTAAGGAACTTCTGTGGATATCTTACTTAGATTAAAATGTACATAAACTAAATAAAAAAAAAGATTAAACAAACTATACTTGTCTGTGGATCGGAAGCATGGGTAGAATGATAGAAACTTTTAAGTCTCTGTAATCTGTGCGTAGTACGGAAATAGTAAAACATTTGATCTACATTTTAAATCATCTAAATTCTTTCACTTTTAAAAATAGATAATTTGTTTCTTCTATCTAGTTAGGTATTTAAAAAAACATCCTACTTAATCGTTTTATTATTTTGCGTTATTTTCTATTAGTAGCACTAAAGACTTCTTTATTATAAGTTTTCTAATCTTAAACGAATCTGCGTGGTTACCAAACCTACATCAGCGGCATTTAAATAACCTCTCATTCTCTGATTTAAGAGTTATTTATTTTTGCATAAAACCATCATAACGACTAATTCGGATTTTTCAAAGTCATCAACATGGTAAGTGTATACTAGAAAATAAATATTTTAATTTTCAATTTTTACAAAATAAAACATGTAATTATGTTTCAGGGCAAACAGAAGAAAACACGAAAAATAGTTGAGAAAAGGTTTGCTAAAATGAAAAAACTAATAAGTCCTAGCGATAACAGAATAAAAGCTGATGAAAGGTCCGAATCGCGTAAGAAGAAACCAATAGATCCATACGAGATGAAGATTCGTGAAATACCACAAGCCAGTTCAGCTCTTTTTTTTCAATATAACACGCAATTAGGACCACCATACCACATTCTCATTGATACCAATTTTATAAATTTTTCTATAAAGAACAAACTAGATATAATGCAAAATATGATGGATTGTTTATATGCAAAATGCATTCCATATGTGACTGATTGTGTTTTAGGAGAGTTGGAAAAACTTGGTCGTAAATATCGTGTAGCTCTTAGAATAATAAAAGACCCTCGCTTTGAAAGAATAGCATGTCTACATAAAGGAACTTATGCAGATGATTGTATAGTTCAAAGAGTAACACAACATAAATGCTACATTGTAGCTACAAATGACAAAGATCTAAAACGACGGATAAGGAAAATACCTGGTGTTCCTATAATGTTTGTAGCACAGCATAAATATACTATAGAAAGAATGCCAGATGCATATGGGGCACCAAAAGGAGCTATTTAAATAAAAAAAAAAGTCAATACCTTTCATATTCTTTTAATGTCTATCCTTTAGTTAGTAGCAATGTTTATAAGCAAATAAACATATCAAAAGTCACCATCCACATTATCTGTCAATTTTCAAAAACAGTTTAAAAAGTTTCTAAATAATGTAAAAGTACTACATAAGATTATATCACCAGAGGGAGACTTTGTACAAAAGTCGATTGCTTGGGTACCTCTGTCCCATTCGTGTTTCAACCGTGAAGCAGTTGTGTTTGCATGGCTGTGTTTCGGTTTGAAGGGTGGGATATGGCGTGAATTTACTGGGTACAGAGGAATAACACCTGAGTCCTCAGGAATGGCAACGCATGGGGGGTATCATGGGCGAAACAGTATACTCTGTTATGTCCATGGTACTGCTCATGTCTATAGGCGACGGTTACCACTTTCCATCAGGTGGGCCGTCAGCTTGTTTGCCATTCTAAGTTTTATAAAATAAAATAAATAGATTATTTTTTAAGTATCTTTGAAATTTTGGTTTATGATGGTATAAGATTTTCAACAGTGAAGCAGTTGTGTTTGCATGACTGTTTCGGTTTGAAGGGTGGGATATGGCGTGAATTTACTGGGTACAGAGAAATAACACCTGAGTCATCAGGAATGGCAATGCATGGGAGGTATCATGGATGAAACAATATACTCTGTTATGTCCATGGTACTGCTCATGTCTATAGGCGATGGTTACCACTTTCCATCAGGTGGGCCGTTAGCTTGTTTGCCATTCTAAGTTGTATAAAACAAAACAAAAACAACTTGAAAATGCAAATGCATTGCAGGGAGTTGGTGGATGCAAGTGGCTCAGGACTGTTCTTTATGGCAGTCTATGGGGGAGGCTTATGTCCAGCAGTGGATGAATAATGGCTGAAATGATAATGACCAACAACTTGATTGAGTGATATTAAGCACTATACAATTGTTCTACTTGTCTGGGCCTAAAGCTAGGATCGGTAGCTGTGCTATAAACAATTAGACAATAGACCTCTAGGGGCAAAACAAACATCCACACTTAAACCAATTTTGAAGTAGGTTTCCTAAATTGACTTAACCTAGAATTAAACCTGGAACCTTATTTATTTTGTAATGTTTCTACTGCCATGCTATGAGGTCAATTAATATATTATTTCAATCTATATCATAGAATGTCTGTTTTTAAGAAAAGTTTTAAGCAGGTAGGTAATCATCAGTATTATTGGAAATCAACAGATAACACGTACACTTCAAGTTGAACACTCCTAGTTGCAGTTATGTTTTATCAAGATTCAACTAGTAGTTTTTATGGGTGAATATGGTATGGTAACCCCGCCCGTGCTAACGGTATGCGCTTGCGCAGCACCATTGAAGGGTGATAGATGAGAATGAAAACAGGCCAGTTAGCCTATCATGATGAATTCATCAGGAATTAACCATGATAGTTTCCAGGGGGAACCGCGAGGAGCTCGACTTGGTTGGGTATATTGCTAGCAATGGGATTCTCAGTCTCCATTACTAACAATCCCTTTCCCTCCTCAAGTAGTAGTAGTAGTAAATTATTATAGACTAGAAAATTACAAAGCTGCTCTATCAAAAAGTGCATGATTCGTACTTTTTTTTTCTCTTTATTTAGGTCAACAAACAGTAGACACAATAACAATATACATATGTATCTAAATATCAATTATTTTTATGCCACCAACACGTGGCTTTGTGACGTTGGCCACCTATTACTATAAACCAAAATATATAAAATGGTTGTGTGCAACTACTTGTACAAAATCAAACATATACACGTATGTGAATGACAAAAATGTAAAGAGGTGAAAATGCACCAGTGATCCACTCAATATCAAAGAACATTCAAATTAGTAATATAATTATTTACCAGCTATAAATACCAGTAAATACAATACGAACAACAAATTATCATTCCTTCACATCATGTAAACCACCGATAAGTCTCCCGGACGCACCAACACGTTCCGATATAACTGTTCCACGTTCGCACTTTCATTTCACGCAACCAAGTATAATCCCTTTTTCTGGTAGTTTTTGTAATTGCAGTCATTTAACCTTTAGATATAATCTCTCTAATCTTTTTTTTTATACAACTAAGAATATCAAACAAGCTATCGGCCCACCTGATGGAAAGTGGTAACCGTCGGCTACAGACATGAGCAGTACCATGGACATAACAGAGTATACTGTTTCGCCCATGATACCCCTCCATGCGTTGCCATTCCTGAGGATTCAGGTGTTATTCCTCTGTATCCTGTAAATTCACGCCATATCTCACCCTTCAAATCTAAACACAGCTATGCAAACAACTGCTTTACGGTTGAAACACGAATGGGACAGTGGTACCCAAGCAAACGACTTTTGCCCAAAGTTTCCCTCTGGTAAAGTGTGCTATTAGTACGTAAGTAAGTTATACTAAGTCATGATAAGAATAGAAATTTAATTATTCATAAATGACAAAAATTTTAAATTCCATACTAACTTAACAAATGAATGAATCGAGTTCGTATGCGGGCTCAAAATTTTTCGTCGTTTTCGAGCCCTGTGTCTTTGGTGCTAATATATTTTACCCAATATAAACAGGTTTTTTGTGATTCTAAGTAGGTATGTTAGAAATAAAATTTTTATTTTAAAAATATTTTTATATTTAATAAGTATTTAAATCTACATTATGTTCCAAAAATTTGGTTCCAGTAAGAGAATTAAAAGGAAAGATAATGGATATAATACATAGCGCTAGATGGTATTATTCAGAGCGCTTGGTGATCCAACTACATCAATAATTTCCAACGTAGGTTTCGCCTCATTTTCAGGCCCATTGCAAATTGAGGCTGGTATTGTAAGAGTCTGAAAAACAAAGGCAATTTAAAATATAAGGATTGTGGAATAAATAAACCTTGAAGATTGAAACAAGATTAGTATCGTAAAAGAGAAAAATGATATACTTGTTAGAGCGAGATAGAAAAATTACCTACGAAGCTCGAAAAAGATTATTGAGATTTAAGAACAAAATAAATTCTATTTATTTTACATTTTGAAGCATAAGTTAAAGTTAAAATATGCTATAACCATTTTATACAAAACTCAATAAGAGGACGGGGATACACTGAACCCTATGGAAAGTACTAATTATACGGAAATGATTCTTAACTAATTCCATTTGCGTATAATTAAATAGCGTTATGTAATTACGTAGGCTATTATTTATACTACAGTTAAGCTATTATTTATTTATATCATTGCATTTTTTTCTTTTTAGAATAAAACACTAAAAATAAATTGATATGAGTTTATGGCAATTTATTGTCAAATAAGCATACCTTTCCTGGATTAAGAACTTCATATTGATGTCTTAATGCCTGTAGCTCAAATTCGCAAGGTACTAAAGCACTTCTCAAATCTAATACCAATGCAAGGTCAGATCGTAACTCATTGAAGTGTTTGCATATGGCTTCAGTTGGAGTTGGTGCAATATCTATAAATTAGAAACAAATGCAATCTCATTATACAAAACTTGAATAATAATAATTGTTTAATACAAATATATTTTATATATGGTATAAAAAATGTCTTTTAATTAGAATAATCAAACACAAAACAATGTACCTATATTCATAAGTCTTAGTTCTTGTTCTATTGTTTTAGTCTTTCTTTGTCCAACACCGGGGGGCAATTTCATTCGCTGTGAGCGGAGCCATACACCAGCGCCGCGTGCTTCTGGGAATTTGATTCCAGACCATTCCACTGTCTATAGAAAAATAAACTCATTATTTACTTATTTATTTATAGGATCACCAACATAAGATACAATGAAGCATTTCAATACAATACACTAGTGGATAAAAGTTTAACTGGTCATACATAAGCAACCACAGCATACTTCGTGTTTGAGGAATATTAATAATTTGAAAGTAGAGCTGAAGTAATAAATCATACATAAAGACGGTTTTAGGTACTGACGTTAAAATTCAGATAATAAGAGCTTTATTATATTTTTACTTTAATTTTTATGTCACAGGATTGGTTCCTAATTACTAAATAGAATAATGAAGTTTTCTGTAACAAACAGTGTCATTTATGATAAAAAGCAAAAGACAGAATTAATTCATGTAGTAACTCTTCATTCCTAAATCACTAACTTTCAGATGCTAATTGGTGAAGTCTAAAAATCCTAGACAAAATTACAATTTTAATAAGAACTTACTACAGTTTCCACAGCCCGAATAGGTCTTTGTTGGGAGGAAAGTTTCTTCTTGTGTAGTTTTCTATCATGACGCCTGGCAATGTTTAATGATACATTCCCTGTGTTATTGGATGTATCCATATTATTTGTAGCATGATTATTAGATGCTATATTTCCACTATCAGCTCTAGAAATCAACTTTTGTAAATCTTGTGTCTTTTTTTCCCTTTCCCGTTTCCTTGCTTCAATCTTTTTCAATTCAGCTATTAGCATTTGCTCCTCATCAATCTAAACAAAAGTAATGTTTAATAAATTATATTGTTGGCTATTTTAATAATATTAACAAAATTAAAGAATTTATTTTCCTTCAATTACTAGATATTTAGAGAAGTAATAGATACTAAAATTCAGCAGCATTTTTATTTTTTTATTTATAACAAGATTTTAGATTCTTAATGAAGCACAATATCGTATTTAAGTTATTCAGGGAGCTTTTTTTGTAATAGGTTACTATAAATATACAGATCACCTGTTCTTGTGTTCGATCAAACAGTCTTCGTAGTTGTTCCTTCCGCTTTCTTTCATGTTCAGCATCATAGTGATATATTCGTTTCTCTCCATTTACCGTAGTTGTCAAATTTGACCAAGGATTAGTTTTCACCTTTGAATAGAGAAATAATACATACATATGCTTGAATAACATTTTTTTAAACAATAACGTGTTGCTGTTCATGTACATTATTCAAATTATTGCAATCACTACCTGCAAGTGATGACTATTTTTCTGCTTACAAGTAGACCTCACCTAACTATATTTTCTCTGGAAAAAATGCCCAGCAATATGCAGGTTAAATCAATCGGAATCAAGGCAAATTGAGTGATACTCAGGACAATTTATACATAGCCTTTTTAAATATGTTTTAGGAGTTGAGTTCACATACTGATTATATAATGTTAAGCTAAAGACTGCAATGTCGTTTGACTTGTGATTCCCGCATAGACTGGGCAACATCTTACTTTCGCGTGAGTGTCATAACAGACAACTAAGGGAACTAAATGGTCAAGGTATGAGCAGCAGCGTCCCTCTTAAAATATCACAAAAGTCTAACTATGGTTATCAACACGTCTGGCAAGCGTGGCAACTACTGACGAAACCTCTTATCCCCATAAGAGGCATAAGGCCTATGTTCAACAGTGGACAGTTAACGGCTGATACGATATGATGGTGTTTAAGATAGTAATGAAGCAATAAATAATTAGATGAGGAGATAGCGCGAAACAGAATTTGTCATATTCACCTTACTTAAAGTAGCACAAATCCCATAATATCTTTCTTTTAAATCTTCTATGCTTCGATCTCTAAATGCAGCACGGTCCCATCTATCATGAATTATAATAAATCGCAGATCAAATCGCTGACATAGATCCATCAAATGATCGGTTTCCGCTTGACTCCAATCCTCCGATTTTAAGAATTGATTGTATTCAGACTCAGAATACGAAGGTATTGAAACTTGCTGAAAATTATTATAGATAAAACTGTAATCCCCAACTAGATGGCGTTTTGTGATATTTCAATAAAAAAAGTATTTTGAAACAATGAAGCCAACTGAGACGGGCCATTCCCTTAAACCCATAGCAACATAATGTTAAATTTGGGGGGAAAGGGATTGTTAATAATAGGGTCTAACTGGCCCATTCCTAGTAATACACCCTATCAGGTCGACCTCTACACGGTTACCCCTGGAAACCATCATCATCTTCCTACCCTTAACCCAATTATTTGGGGGACGGGGGGGGGGGGGGGAAGGAATGGTTTTCAATGGACTTTGTCAGCCCCATTGCTAGCAATATTAGGTATATTAGATCCTATTAGATCGACCTCCACGTGATTCCCCCTGGAAACCATCGTGAACAATTCTTGTTGAATTTGTCATGATGGGCACATTAACTGACCTGCTTCATCCTCACCTATCATCCTTCATTGGTGTCCCGCCGGTGTATATCATTAGCGCGGGTGTGGTTACCATTCCATTATCACCCATCATCATCATCATCATCACCTTCCTACCCTTATCCCAATCATTTGGGGTCGGCGTAATATGATATTATCCATATTACAAAAAGATTTGGTTTTTAGTTTTACGACCGGCCACCTGCCTGACGTCAACCCTCTTTGGGAATGCATTCCATTATCACCCATTAAAAAAAAATATTTGGAATCAGTGTAATATGGTTTTATCCATATTACTAAATGATTTGGCTTATAGTTTACGACCGGTCTCCTGCCTGACACCAACTATCTTTGGGAATGCATTTGTTGGTGGTTTCCGCCACCTACGGTTTGGAGGAAAGGATTGAGGAAAAAAAGGAAGGGAATGTTGAATTAAAGGATTGAGGAAAAAAAGGAAGGGTAGAAGTACACCCCTGACGCATCCCCCTGGAAACCATCGTGGTTAATTCTAGTGGAATTCGTCACAGTGGGCACAGATAATTTCTCAGTAACTGTTTTCAGTAGAAACACATTTTTTTTTCAATTCTCGACATTTTCACACGCAAAGCAGTACACTCTGCTAATACCTGCCTGTAATAGTAGGTCCAGAATGTCATTATCCCTACTTAGCTCTTCCAACCCTTAGTATTTCATTTCTAAAAAATGTTGTAATATGAAATTATTACAATATTCAGTAAGCATATCTCAAAATGATAAAAACATCTATGTACATGTATATTTATTACCTTATTAAACTGAGCAAATGGATATTCTTTTGTTTCATCAGAAACACGTTTCCAATGGTAAAATACAGCATTGTCCTTACGAGCTGGATTTGTAAATGGTGCCCATGTCCACTTACGCACTTTGCGCATTCCTAGCTTCGCCTTTGTTTGCTTGTAGGCTTTACCTGGTATTCAACATTATAGTTCATATAATTTCAATATCAATTAAAAAAATATTATAAAATTCATTGAAAATATCTATAATAAATGTATCTATATAAAACTATGTATACCTGTATCAGTAGGAAGCAATGGAGGTAAATCTTTATTAGAGTCATTGTAAAGTAAGGCAAACACTTCTCTATGCATGCCCTCAGGTCTTTTCACAGCTTTAGCAGTCACATATTTCTTTTTTACTTTATCACCATGAATTATTGTATCCCTATTGATTTCAGACCCTCCAGGCTGTTCAATATCCAAAATATCCAATATATCAGCCATTACTCTTCAATATGGTTTTTAACCTACAAAAAAAAATGTAGTTGAAAAGAATTTTTATAAGTTGAAAATAGAACTGCAGCTTGCTTTTTGAACCATGTTGGAGTTTTAGTGCCTGTAACATTAAAATAATATATTTATACCAAACCTAAAAATAACATACCAATTAAAATCCCACTTTTAGACACAGGTTCTCATATGAGGAAGATATGCCTGCACACCACACTAGTCAGGGTGATCAGTGAATACCCTCAGAAGATTGCAATTTATTACTAAAAAAGAAAACTAATACCTACTTACATACTAAGTAATTTTCATAAATATTTAAATGATCATAATTTACCTCCATAATTCTTTTATTTCTAGGGACTGTCATAAAAGAATTTGAAAGAAAAAGGTACCTACATTTAATCATATAAATTGCAATAAATTGTTAATTATTCCCATATAAGGGAGCCCAGGAGACTAAATAGGAATTTGCAATGTAGGGCCCTATTGGACTTTGAAGATTAGATGATAGAAAGAAAAAATGTTATATGATTTCATTCTTTCACCAATGGGGTATATTTTTGAAATATTACAGATAAACACTCCCATAGTTTATCAGAAAAAAAAACAGTTGTGGATACACTTGAATGTGCATGTGACTCATTTCTGAAATTGGAAGTAATGAAGGGGAAAGGATATACATAGCATAATAAATAAAAGCAGTAAATTATTTATATATAATAAAGATCATTTGGAACAACCATACTATATTTTATTTAACATTAGATAGAAAGTAACAGTGTTCCATATTTTTTTCCACAACTGCAGTGTCCTCCCACCTCTTTTCTTTTCCCACATAAGTCCCTTATTCCTTTTATTTACCAATTTCCTTTATGCATTTCCAATGTTCCCTTCTTTTTTTTCCTCAATTCTTTCCTCCATATCGTAGGTGGGGAAAACAACCAATAAATGCATTCCCAAAGAGGGTTGACGTTAGGTAGGTGGCCGGTCGTAAAACTATGGCAATTTTTTTTGAAATATCTATAAAAAACATATTATGCCGACCCCATATAATAAATGGGATAAAGGTAGAAAAAAGAAAAAGATAGAAATTAACGAACAAAATGTATCCTAGAAACGTGTGGGCTTCATAAATTAATATGAATATATGTAACCTACTTCAACAGGAGAATAATCTGTCGGTTTGCATGGTAAGTGGCTATAGGGAAGAAAAATATTTTAGCAATCAGATAGTCAGAGGGAATAAAGCAGAAAAAGCTCTCATTTGAAAGACTGACAATACTAATATGACTATAGTTACTAATACAACAATTATTTCAATTATAATCTTTTCCTCACATTTCAACACTTACCTAGTAAGCCCAAATAGGAAGTAAAGACTATAATTATATTATGTACACTATTTTAATATTATAGTTCAATGTATAGAATTAAATCCTGAAAATTTCAATTATAATTAAGAAGTAAATAAAAGCAATTTATACGACTTATAGACAAATACAGACTAAATAGATAACCACAGAATATATTGTTACGCAACTAATAGCAAACTGACAGTATTTTTTTTTTCTTCTTTTGTGGCGTTCACCCCGATATTAGGGTATTTTGCCAAGAACAAAACGGGGAAACGAGAATAGTAATAAAAATACCTAACACAAACGAATTTAGAAAGGATAAGGATTAGGTCTAGGATATTTATAGGATATGAAGGATATACTTGTACATATGAGAATATACTTATAAATATATAGGAAAAGCAATTGATGCAACTATAAATGTATTCATGTAATATAACTAAATCTTAATATTGTTATCATATATATATGAAGATAGTATTTTATAGATAATAGGATCATTGGAAGAAAGTAGAGTAAGAATAGAAGTTGGGAATGGAACACGGATGGATCGGAAATGATTAAAAAGGGAGGTGTGGTCAAATTTAGAACATGAGAAGAATATATGATTCAAGTCCGCCACTTCAGCACCGCAATTACACGACGAACTTTGTACAATACCAAGCTTGTATAAATGAGAAGGTGTGCATACGTGACCTAGACGCATACGAGTTATAATAGTTGTTGCGGTCTTTCCAAGCTTTAATTTACAAAACCATGGTTTGAAAGGAATATCGGGTTGTATAAGGCGATAAAATCTTCCTTTTATTGTACTTGTTTTTTCCCAATATTCCTTCCAGGCATACCTTAAATATATTTTTGGGAGACAAGCTAGGTCACTACAGTAATTATGATACGGATACATATCACCACAAGTTACAGCCTCTCTTGCAATAAGGTCAGCTTTGTCATTGCCGCTAATACCACTGTGTCCTGGTAACCAGGCAAAAGAAACGGAATACCCTCTCAACATGCAAAGATAAAGACTTTGTCTTATGTCACAAATAATGGGATAAACTGGTTTTGATTTAAACGGATATTTGGCTAGAGCTTGCAAAGAGCTCATAGAGTCAGTGAAAACTATTGCCTTATGTAATTTCATTAAAAGTATATATTCTACAGCTTTTAAAATACCATAGCATTCCCCGGTAAAAACTGAAGATTCCGGTGGAAGTTTAATTTTTTGAACGATATTAAATTGTGAATGAAACACACCCACACCTACACAACCGCTATTGTCTGGATTTGATGCATCAGTAAAGATGTAGTGCCATTCATTCCATTCAATGTCAGTTATAAACATAAATTTGGCATTCAATTCTGAATCATTTTTTGATAACCCAAAATCATATTTAATATTAGGAGATAAAACTAAAGATTGATATGAGCATTTATAAATGGGAAAACAGGACGATGTAAAAGTGGGAGATTCTATGGATTTATATTTTTCATAACTTTGTATTAAACATGGAGGTTTTTTATGTTTCCAATAAGATGAAGACGAAATAAAGATATATAGTTGAGATAACTTTTGAATAAGCGGATGATCAGATAATTGTAAACAACGAAAAAAGAAGCGATCAGATAAATATTGCCTTCTTAAAACCAAAGGTGGATCACCGACTTCGAGCTGTAAAGCATTGATTGGACTTGATTTCATTGCTCCAGAGATAATCCTCAAGGCCTTTGATTGAATTAAATCCAATTTCTTAAAAGCAAATGAACTTCCTGGAGCTAACAAAAAAGTTCCATAATCAATGACACTCCTTATAAGACCATTATAAGCAAGTTTTAGTGAAACGGGATGTGCTCCCCACCAAACTCCAGCAAGGCACCTAAGAATGTTGAGGTTACGCTCACATTTCGTGGAAATATAATTACAGTGGGACAGACCTGTTAATTTATTATCTAGCACGATACCTAAAAATTTAATTTCAGTCTTTATAGGAATGTATGAGTTATCATAAAGCACCTTAATTTGTTGCGGTGATCTCATTCTTGAAAACAAAACTCTTGGTTACAGAAAGATTAAGACCATTTGCATCTAACCACGTTTTTAACAGATCTAATGAATCAGATAATTTGGCAGAAGCAGATTCTATGGACTTCGCAATAAAATATAATAAGAGATCATCAGCATATTGTAAAATTTTGACGAATTTATCAAGGAATGATTCTAGATCGTATGTGTATATGTTGAATAAAATTGGACTGAGAACAGATCCTTGTGGAAGGCCTTTCCATACTGTTCTAGATAATTTGGTATCTTCATCTAGATCCATATGTATTGTTCTTTCTGATAAAATATTAATAATGAAATTAGAAAGCATTACCGGTACATTTAAAGCTTGTAATTTAGTTTTTAAAATAGAAATTATTACATTATCATAGGCAGAATTTATATCTAAAAAGGCTGAGAGGATTGACAAATTTTGTGAGAAAGCTATATGAATATCTGAAATAAGAATGCTCACATTATCTAAGGTGCTCTTACCTTTCCTAAAACCAAACTGGTTCGGGGATAGTAAGTTATTACTTTCTAAAAACCATTCTAGACGGTTCTTCACTAAATGTTCAGCTAGCTTTAGTAAGACAGAGGAAAGTGCAACAGGACGGTATGAAGATGGTTCAGAAGGTGGTTTATGAGGCTTTAGAAATGGTATAATAATCTGAGACTTCCATGAAGTAGGTATATTTCCCGAAATAATTATGGAATTAATTATATTTAAAAAGTAAATTAATATCGCATCGCTAGCATTTTTAAAAAAGGAATACGGTATACCGTCTTCTCCCGGTGCAGAGTCTTTAATACAAGCTAGAACACCTTTAAGTTCTACAAGAGTAAAAGGAGACTCAAGTTCGGATAATTCGTCAGAGACGGATAGAGAAATATTGTAAAGGCATTCCGGCACATAACTAGGAGCAAGGCGATCTAAAAATTTATTCGCTAAAGTTAAATCGAGTGTAGAACGTGATGTATGATCACTAAAGGCAGATCTGAATCTTTTAATATTATTCCAAACGACTGATGAATTAACTTCTGGACAGATAGAAGAACAAAATCTTCTCCAACCTTCCAATTTCTTTTTTTTCAGTAGTTTTCGAGTAGAACGTGAAACTGCGGTGTAAATTTCAAAATTTTCTGATGTCATGTAATTATTATAATTTTTTTCAGCCTCTTTACGATTTTTAATTGCTTCCGTACAATCTTTGTCCCACCAAGGTGGGGAGGGAATTTTCCCTGAAGCACTATTTTTAACAGGAAATAATAAATCAGCAACCTCCTTCATATTAATTATCAAGTCATTACAACATTGATGTTCATTTCCATGGTAAACAATAGGTAACTCCGTTATTTTATTATCTAAATATTGTTTGTAAATATTCCAGTCTACATTTGATAAATTATATTTAAGTCGAGGACCACTCTTTCGACTTGAGGGAATGGAAATTAGAAAAGAAAGAATGAGGGGAAAGTGATCACTTCCGAAGGTAGAGGAATGAGGATACCACGACAGTGAAGAAGCTAAATCAGAAGAACATATTGAAATATCAGGAGCACTAAACCCTTCATTCGGTGCAGTTCTACGTGTCGGTACATCTGAGTTAATAATACATAAGTTGTAAGTGTCAATTATCGTCAAGAGTTTTCCACCATAAAAATTAGAAGTAGAACTGCCCCACAATTGGTGCTGAGCATTAAAATCGCCCATTACGAGAAAAGGTTTAGGTAAAATTGAAAATAATTGTTCTAGTTGTGAATATATTTGGCATGTAGGATCAGGAATATATAAAGTAACAAAACAGATACCATTTATAATTATAGCAGCTGCATTAATGCCGCTATATACAGGAAGCGAAAAGGAAGAAAAAGGAAGGGAGTTTTTGACTAATATGGCAACACCGCCATATCCGTCAGCTCTATCATCACGGAGACTTTTAAAGCCTGAAATCCTAAAAGGATATCCTGGCTTTAACCAAGTCTCTTGTAGAGCTATTATAAAAGGATTATATTTATTAATCAAATAAAATAAGTCTGATTTCTTATTTGTTATGCTACGACAGTTCCACTGAATTATTTGGACTTTGTAATCCATTGTGAGAAGTTAATAATTGAGAAAATACATTGTATATGGCATCGTTGGACGGTGGTAAAGTTGTTTGTATCATTTTTGATTGCGATAACACTTTAATAAGCATGAGAATAATATCAATGATGGATTGATTATTGTCAATATTATTTGATGATAATGCACAACCATTAGAGGGAGCAGGAATATTATATTCCTTAACTATGGCTTCATGGGCAGAACGATCATATCCTTGTTGTATTTTTTGAGGAGAGCGTGGTTTAAGTGTAACTGTTTTTTTATATGATGATTGTATATGTGGTAATGATGATTTCTCTTTAAGGAAAGAAGATTGAAAATGAGATTTATTGGAAGGAGATGATGATGTTAATACATCTGAATATAGTTTAGAAGTTGGAGGATGAAATATTGATGCTTCAGCATAAGAAACACAACTATGGGCCATTGTTTCTTTAATGGCTTTCTGACGTGCATATTCAGGACATTTTTTACTAATTGCTGAATGAGAACCATTACACAAGATACAAGAAACATTTTCCTCATCTACTTCACATTTATCACCTGTATGATTTTGCCTGCATTTATAACACCGAGGATTTGAATGACACTGCATCTTGACATGTCCGAACCTACAGCAGTTATAGCATTGGATAGTAGGGTAAATGTACAAATCTACAGTTAATGATGTGTAAAACATAAATACTCTTTTTGGCAATATTTGTCCATCAAAAGTAATAACAATGGTTTCAGTATTAATAAAACTTGGTTGTCCTTCATTAATTGTCTTTTTCTTTATTCTTCTGATTTTTAGAATTTTCCCACAACCTATCGGTACTGATATATTTTGGATTACTTCCTCTTCTGTCCAATCTTTAGGAATACCCCTCACAATTCCCATACGGGTTACATGGAAAGAAGGTATAAATGCCTTAAAATTATGTGCCTCTAAGTTACTATTATTTAAAAATGCATTTGCATTTTCAAAATTTGAGAAAGAAAGCGATAAACGGTTTCTTCCTATTCTTTTG